TCAGTAAAAATGAATATATAAATGATTTTATGCCTCAAAACAATCATACGAGATTTGGTCTACAATTAGAATTACATATATGACAGACAGTCGCTTTAATCCTACTAGGGGCCAGTTGTATAAAAGACAAGTTAACTTTTAACTGTAGTTAAGGACAGAATTGGCAAATCAGACTCGCGTATTTAATTCTGAGTTAACTATAGGATTAAATCATATATGCAAAATGTATAATTAAAGAGTTTTATACAACCGACCCCAGGACTTTGTGAACAAATGTTTGGGACATATTATGGTTGATATATAGGAAACATGCATGTTCGAGTATGGTAATATTGCAATTCAATAATGATACTGAAACGACGGAAACCTCTAATTTATTATATTTAACAAGTAAATATACTTCGCTGGCCTCAAAATTTCAAATATATGAATTATACTGAAAAGGCAAGCAAAACATTGTTGCTAATTTAGTTGAAGTGATGTGGCCAAATTGCCCGTAAAAATTGCATTGAAATGACTATATTGAGTTGTTTTTTTTAAATTTCCCTACCATTGTTTTGTGTTGATTGATCTTAATTACTTTTTAGAATGGTTCCTTATGCTTGTGAAATTATGCATGACCAAAAGCTATATCGAATCCAATATCGTAGCTACTTTTCATTTTTAAGCCTCCTACAAACACTGTAAAGCAGAATTCGTTAAAATTTTATTTTGAAGTAGTTTGAAATATCGATTTTTCATCGACGGTCAATTCTGCATGCTTTCTACCGTACAGACGAAAAGAAAAACTAGCAATTGATTATTTCTGCATGGTTTGTGGTATAACTCAGCCGGTATTTCGCCAGAACATTAAGCCTCGGCTACAGGGGCGATTTTTGACGGCGATCTTCTCCTTTTGGTGTATGCTATTAAGTAAATTTAACAGAATAGGTTACTTTACTTCGTCCAGCTTATACACACTGCGTACATAGTTCACACAATTACACTCAAATGGCGGAAAGGTTCAAAATGGAGAACAAAATAATCTATTTATTGAACAATTAAGCTGAAATATATCAAGTTAAAAGGGGAGGTATAGATAGGTATAGGAGGACATATATAACAGCATGATTGCGTTAAAAATGAAACTATTTCTTCAGTAGTAATCATTAACTAGCTATATCGATCGCAACATCGTTTTCAACGTTGTCGAGTTGTAAGAAATTTGATCGTACTGAGTATATGTAGACAGTCTTTATACTTGAAATGGTATAAGTATAACAGTCATCCGTGATAACACAGGACAGGTCACTCCATATATAATATATAGTATACGTTGACTGAAGACAGACGTTCATTTCCGCCAAATACAAGACTGCAAGGGAGGAAAAATAGGAGCGTTAAACACTTGAAGTAAGACGTCCACACATAACCGCGATTTTGGCATCGCTTTGGAGTTTGGAGTACACATTCGAGTGAAAAAACTTTAAAAGAGGAAGTATTGAGTTTTTGATGTAGATGACAGAACTCCGGAACTCAGGGTTTGGTCCATCACTAGGGCGGGGATTGAAAACAAACACATACATGCCGCGTACCTATACAACGCATAACTGCATGTTTTAATTCAAGAGTACGTTGCAGCTAGTCCTAATATTATATAATTCGTTTGCATGCAAACGTTGCAGTATACTGATAAGGAAGGGATGGGTAATATCAACTATCCTTTCATGGTATAGCGTCAGAAATACATGCTGTCATGCATGCATCTAATTTAAATTAAAATTCGTTACAGATAGTTACATACAATATCATGCAGCATGCAGTCACAAGTTCAATACCCATAGCCATGTATCAAGATACAACGTCAGTATTTAGTAAATGTCCGCACAATAGCTGCATGTGATATCATAGAAGATGTCCTTATATATACACTAATGATATCTCCAACCGACTTGCTGAATAAGAGCTTGCATGACTTTGCAATTGAGTATCTGACCGGACTGACCCTAAATCGTACTATGAATTGAGAAGAACCTTTTAGATCATTATTGAACAGGACTAATGGGGTATATACAGAAGAATTTTGCGTGGCTATTTGTTAATGCGCTGAATTAAAAATAAACATTATAGAAATAATATCAACCAACATCAGTACTTAATTTAAGAAGCATATCTGATTTAATATATTAATTTTCATACTTTTATATAGAATTAATTTCGATATAGAATTAAATATCATACATTTATGGTCAAAACAAATAACCTATACATACTTATTATTGCACCCAACTTTAAGGAAGAAATATATACTTATAAAATCAATATTTATGAATAGTTGAGCAAAACCACCACCGAATTTGGCTGACTTCTGATTCTCTCGTCCAATCTGGATGAGCGTGTGAAATAATTTTGGCATTTGCCGTTTTAAATGATGACTCAATACAGACAAGTGGAGATGGTCTGGAAGAAATGTCACATAACTTCAATCTGTGCTTCTGTATTCAGAAAAAAAGTTGAAGAACATCCATTTGCATGTGCCTGAAATATTACCCAAAACTATACTAGGTGCATGATTTCCAAACTATACAAGGTGATTCCCACACATGTAGCACTCAGATATTAACTGCTCCTTTAACATTTCATGTATTGACCAAACTTAGTTGAAAATTGAAATAGCTTAATTATATTAAAACTTAAATCTCATGATAAATATACACAAGAGTCTAAAGTTTAACTTTTTATAATTTTTAAGATTTTATTTACAACATTTCGCCAAGATATCTTCATGCAGACCAAATTAACGTGAACTATATAAAATTACACTGGTGGATTTGACTGAATGAAAGTTAATCATACGTTTCTTTCTTAAAAAACCTCTGCCTACGATAGTTTAATTGAAATATTTTATGTTCTGAAAGTATTTAGTATTTTGACTGATTTAAACGAAACAAATTTATATAAGGCAGTCCATGTGATTCATTCCTCGCTCTATATGAGCTAATATAAAAGCGTTTAGATGTAAGTTTTTTGGCACTGAATAACAATATTTTTCAAAGTTAACCAACATCATTACGTTGCAATGACGTCAATTGACAAGCAATAATTATGAGGACTAAACGCGTGCTGGGGACTCCAGTAGGGAAAATTAGAGGGCAGCCGGTAATTGCAAAATACACGTGGATAATAAGCTATTTGTATAAGACATATATTGCATGACATCAAATAGGGTGATCGAGTTTTCATTAGTTTATGAAAGCATATTCTTTCAGAGGGCCTGAAGAATTTTTGCGATCGATTGTATCGAGTTTTTAGACCATGGATTATATCAGGTCACGATATACAGTATACTCACGTTAGAGTAAAAAAAAACGATGACAATGCAAAGGAAATAATTTTCATGCAGACTCTTAGCTGAGGCATGACAATTAAGTAAAATGTTATAATTATTAATTGGACTTTGAGTGTTGCACGTAAATCAAGGAGAACAAATTGTTGGACGTAAATCAAGCACAACTTCTACCCACGTCAAACTTGCATGCGGTATAACTTTGAAAGCTAAAACGGACAGCAAACTCTCACAAACAGCTCTTTAAATTAAAGGTTTTCACAGTGACAACAGTGAAATGTATATTGTAAACGGTAAAGGAATGAGTGCAAGTTCTAGATAAAGCCTCGAATGCAAATCAGCTTGTGCAAATAAGCTGCATAGCAAGCTGCCATTAAAGGCTGTTTTCGCCACTGTCGCGTTTTTTGCACGTACGTACACGCACGTAAAAGCTTAAAATCTTCCAAGTTGTTGTATAATTGCAAGTTAAAAACTATGATTATTAGTTATTATTATTCCCATTACTTTTGCTGAGTTTAGTGAGCTAAGATTAAACATTTGACTACTGAGACAGAGTACTGTTAATGATGAATTTAAAAAACCAAATAGTTTGAACTCATCAAACTATGTAATATGTTTACTAAGCTATACATGACATCAAATGCATGTGCTTCAATTATACTACCTAAAATATTACCTAACTCTCGATTTTTCGATCTATGGACCCCACACACAAATTCTCTTGAAAAAAGCCCTCAGGTCGGAAACGCCGAGAAGTTTTCTGGTATATTTAAGGCAATTTCTTAATCACATTTGATGAGAAACTATTCGAGGATTCTACCACGCAGGCACGCTGTTTCCTGGTTATTTTAGGACACATAATAGAGTAATTCAACACAACACAAAACTGGTGACACGATGTCGCGGTTTAAGGAACTGTTCAATAAACTAATTTAAGGAACGATTTAACGGACAATTGAATTTATGCGTGGCAGTATCCGAAGCTGCCTAAAAAGAAATTTGAAAGGTCTTACCAGAAGACCAGAATTCATTGGGAAACGAAAACGTTTACTTGAAGGGCACTACTTCTACCCTATTAGGTGAAACCATTTAAAAAATGTCCGTTTAGTTCAATTTCTTTGTGAAGTATATATTCGTTTTTGTTTCGTTTCAATTTGAAATTAAGATTTTCAACATTCAACTCTAGGTTGGATATGCCATATTGATATATCAAGATTTTATACCAGAGGAGGCACTTGATTTACTTAAAGAAACTTTAAATAACTCCATAATGGCAAAGTGTCTAATTGTACCTTGTCCCTGATATAACAAAGATAGTTCACATCAATTTTTTGCCTCTTATGAGCAAACGTAAGCTTGTAACATATTTGAATTCTGGATGAATCATGTGAGTGGATTATTTGAAAACATGGAGAAGACATGAAACTAGTTGTCGAATGGAAAATAAAATCATTTCAATTAAGTATTTGTTTTGGAAAGTATAACACACCTTGCTCTCGAATATTTGTGAACTCAATTATGCAGGAAAATTACAAATCAAGAATTATTTTTATGTAAGAATGAATTACGATGAATTCATTTTACGTAAGATATTAAATGACTGAGGGTACGGATTTAGAAAAAGACTTGGATAAATGATGATGTCACTATAAAGCACAATATTGTTCAAATGGCTGAAATGAATTTCACAAGCGTAGAATACAACTGATTTAGGATTTCTTAATTCATACAACATCAGTCTGCAATTAAGAGCTGTTCAGGAGTATAAAGCTTTACTTTAGGTAATTAACCCACTGCCCCATTGGTACAGAGAAATGTTTACTCTTTGAACCAAATACATTGCATTATCTACAAATGGTGATATTATTTATTTTATTACAGCTTTGAACTTTTCATTATAAATGTATTTAACATTCATTCTCCCTTTGCTTATTTTGCACCCAACCCCAGGTATGGGGAGAACTGTCTGTGCTCCCCCCAGAATGGCCCTGATTACTTTCACCCAACTTGTCCATAATTATTTACGATTATCTTCAAATATTGCTAAATCGTGACGATCTAGTTATTTAGGATTCCTCGCCCTTCTGCAATATTTGAATTCCCATCATACAAAAGCAATTATCTGCCTTGAAACTGATGTTATTTCGAAGCCATGTGTCTCATTAAAGTAAGGTTTAGTTTCTCCAATCTTTTTAGATCTTGCTGTTGTTCAGTTCTGTACTTCAAGCACTAAGAAACAGGATGATGTTATACAGTCAGTTTTAATTCTTCTTAAATGTTCATACTCATTCTGATGAATCATCATAAAGTTAACTTTGGCAGGCATTGTGATGTATTTTGTGGGCTAAAATGATAAATTTGAGAGGCTGAAATATATTTTAGCCTGCTGATCTGAAGTGCTTACCCCTTGCATATTTTTTATACAAAAATTGCCTTTTAAAGAGTTGATGTTTGTGGGCATAAGTGTGTTTTTGGCCCTCCTCAGAAAACATTTTAGCCCACCTTGGAACACATTTAAAATAAGTTTGGAGTTAGGCGAACACCACATTTATGCCCATGAACATCAACTCTATTGTTATATTTTAATTAGGATGTGGTTACCAGTGTTTTACCTGCACCTACTTTGCATCTAACTGCCCATTATTTTCCTATCAGTTTAAACAAGTAGAATAATTACATTTGTAAATTTATTATTGCATGTACATTGCATATTGAATTCAACCTGCCATGTATTGAATCATTCGGGAACATTCTTTCCAGTGTATTTACATACATTTCATAGTGCAGAAATAAAATCTTGTAAGCAATAGAATTCACTTTAAAGTTTATCATGTACGTGCACCCTTAATCCCTCATTTTTCAGAATGCAATAGAATATTCTGGTCAGGTTAACATATGTTGCAGATGTAAGCTTAGGGTCTAAATTAACATAAAAATTACAAAGTAAACTTAAATAATTTAAATGAATATTCTTATTGTATATTTTATCAAGAATATATGTTGTAGTTTTGACATTTTATGCTTCATGTTTAAAAGCTTTTCTGCTTGCTTTATTATAATCTCCAAGCTAACCAACGGTGTTTTTTGTTTATACTATTGAAAAAGAATATATGAGGATATATATTGAACATGTGTATGACACAGATGAATTAATGCTGTGATATGCTGCTAGCAGAAAAACAATATTGAGCTTGTAAACTAAAGGTCAAAGGTTCAATTTCTACTGTGGTCAGGCTAGTACTTTAGCTTACAGGGTCACAACCAGCTGAATGATAGAACAAACCTATACCCTCTCAATTTCCAGTGTTACCAAACCCAAGTTATTCTACAGGAATAGTCCACAGCAGTAAATTATTTTATAGCCGAACGCCAAAAATCTCACCTAAACAGATACTGGGGATTGCTCTTCTATCAATAAAACTTCAAGATAATCAAAATGACTGAACCACCCATCTTACCAAGAAGATATAAGAATTATTAAATAATGCCACCATACAGCATAGCTGATCAAAAATTTTGAATGCTGGCATATACATCAAAAACAAAAACAGTAACACAATACTCACAACTTTGTCATTTGTCCCCTTCAACACCAACTTTCCTTCACAATTGCGATATTTTACAACAAATCGAAACTAAATCAAAAATTAAGTTCAATAGGCTGTGTTTAGCTACTTTTAGCAGTGACACGAAGAACACGTGTACATACACAAGGGCAAATAAAATCGGAAATTTGAGAGAAAATACGATAAATTCTCACCTTGCTTGGTTCTTCGAGACATAGCTGTTCAACTGCTTTAACATACTCATCCCAGGAGTCGATATAAACCATTTTAATAAGGGAATTATTAAGAAAACTCGTGTAGAAATCTTTCAATGAAGAATGATTTCTGATTCTTTAGAATATTCCAAATACTCGTTCCAGTCCATCAATGCAACCGGCAGTCTAAGGTTGCTCTGGGTTTATGTCACTGAGCGCGATAGGTCAGTGGAGTAAGCAAATTTAAATGCATGGCCAAATAAGAAATATTGGGAAATAATAAAGTAAAACCTTAGGTAAAACCATGAGACATATTCTGTTAATATTGCAAAATTAAATCAAAACCACAAAATAAAACGCGTATCTCTTTCCCCATGGTGTTCAATATTGTAAAACACGCTGGATAGTTTTAGTTACTGGCCTTCGTTTCTGCCTTGCTACCTTTTCATGAATAAGCAAATAAAGCAATTCTTGGAAAAAAAGGTGACTTTGGTCTTGTTTTTTTTTGGAATATCAGGCGATTTCTCAAACATCTAAAGACTGGATCGCAAATGTAGCTATATGGTGTATTGCACAAGAGTGAAAGAATGTTTTTAGATTTTGGATGATGATTTTGCGGCTACACAGTGTCCAAATATTGGCAGAACTTGATTGAACTTGTTTTCCATTTAGCCTTGGTTCTGGGTAATGTCGAAATAGTTTGCCGGAAATTTGTTCTGTTTGTCTGAAAATCGCTGAAATATTACCACGAAGTCATTTTTAGCACGAAATTCCACACTTACCAAGAAAATCACTTTTTATCATTGCAACGAACGCGTGCACTTTCTTAGGCATTTTTGTGGTACATACTATATCAATCTTAATCTAACATGTTTGTGAATAAAAAATTATATAACTGCAGCATGCGGCGAATATAATTATGATTCTAAATTTCTAAGAAGAGGGGAAAAGGTATTTTGGAAATTCAATGCGAATTTTACTCTCTGAGTTAAAAATTAAGGATGGGAACGAAAATATTCATAATTTATACACAAAAGAGAAAACGTTTACCTACTGGTAGTTGATAAACATTGGGCGTACATTAACAGAATATCTTTTAGCCTGTTTTATATTTTGTAACTTTATTTTATTTACCACAAATGTAAGAAACAGGTTCTGCAATCTTCGTTCTCTGATATGATAAATATTCAGGATCAGTCAGTAGCTCATTGTTTTTGTGATGAGGAAAATGAACTCAATTGGTAGAACGTGCCAAGACACCAGACAAGGAAATTGATCCTGTATGCTTGATAAGTTCAACAAACATAAATGTAAATAAATGTACTTGGACTTAAACAATCTGTGTTGGCCCAAAAGCCTTAATTTAAGTCCTGAAGGTATTCAAGTTCCCACAATAGCAATACGTATAACACTAATACAGACAAGTGTTGCTTTATTTAATGCAGATTAACCGAATATAGTTGACATTAAATCAAATCGGTAAAAGTAAAACCTTGGGTAAAATCATGGGACAGATTCTGTTAATATTGCAAAATTAAATCAAAACCACAAAATAAAACGCATATCTCTCTCCCTATGGTGTTCAATATGGTAAAACACGCTGGATAGTTTCAGTAACTGGCCTTCGTGCCTTGCTACTTTTTCAAAAAAATAAGCAATTTTAGGATACTTTTGAAATCTTTTAAAAAAGGGTGACTTTGGTCTTGTTTTTTCGGAATATCAGGCGATTTATCAAACACCTAAAGACAGGATCGCAAATATTCATGGTGTATTGCACAAGAGTGAAAGAATATTTTTAGATTTTGGATGATGATTTTGCGGCTACACCGTGTCCAAATATTGGCAAAACTTGATTGAACTTGTTTTCCATTTAGCCTTGGTGAAATAGTTTGCCGGAAATTTGTTCTGTTTGTCTGAAAGTCGCTGAAATATTACCAGGAGGTCATTTTGCTCACGAGATTCAACACTTACCTAAAGCCCACCACATACCCACCGCAGATAATAAGAAAATTACTTTTTATCATTGCAACCAACGCGTGCCCTTTCTTAGGCATTTTTGTAGTACATACTATATTAATCTTAATGTAACATGTTTGTGAATAAAGAATTATATAACTGCAGCATGCGGCGAATATAATTGTGATTCTAAATTTCTAAAAAGAGGGGAAAAGGTATTTTGGAAATTCAATGCAAATTTTACTCTCTAAGTTAAAAATTAAGAATGGGAACGAGAATATTCATAATCTATACACAAAAGAGAAGACGTTTACTCAGTAGTTGATAAATATTGGGCGTACATCAACATAACATGTTTTAGCCTGTTTTATAGTCTTGTGACTTTATTTTATGTACCACAAATGTAAGAAACAGGTTCTGCAATCTTCGTTCTCTGATTTGATGAATACGTCCGGTTACTGAAGTTCATGAGCCGAGAAGCTAGTGAGTAGCTCATTGTAATTTTGTGGTGAGAAAATGCATTCAATTGGTAGAACGTGCCAAGATACCAGACAGGGAAATTGATCCTGTATGCTTAATAAGTTCAACGAACATAAATGTAAATAAATGTACTTGGACTTAAATAATCTGTGTTGGCCCAAAAACCTCAATTTAAGTCCTGAAGGTATTTAAGTTCCCAAAATAGCAATACGTATAACACTAATACAGACAAGTGTTGCTTTATTTGATGCACATTAACCGAATATAGTTGGCATTAAATCAAATCGGTAAAAGTAAAACCTTGGGCTTGGGTAAAATCATGGGACAGAGTCTGTTAATATTGCAAAATTAAATCAAAACCACAAAATAAAACGCATATCTCTCTCCCCATGGTGTTCAATATTGTAAAACACGCTGGATAGTTTTAGTTACTGGCCTTCGTTTCTGCCTTGCTACTTTTTGAAGAAAATAAGCAATTCTAGGATACTTTTGAAATCTTTTAAAAAAGGTTGACTTTGGTCTTGTTTTTTCGAAATATCAGGCGATTTATCAAACACCTAAAGACAGGATCGCAAATATTCATGGTGTATTGCACAAGAGTGAAAGAATATTTTTAGATTTTGGATGATATTTTGCGGCTACACCGTGTCCAAATATTGGCAAAACTTGATTGAACTTGTTTTCCATTTAGCCTTGGTCTGGGTGATGTCGAAATAGTTTGCCGGAAATTTCTTCTGTTTGTCTGAAAGTCGCTGAAATATTACCAGGAGGTCATTTTGGTCACGAAATTCAACACTTACCTAAAGCCCACCACATGCCCACCGCAGATAATAAGAAAATTACTTTTTATCATTGCAACGAACGCATGCATTTTCTTAGGCATTTTTGTGGTGCACACTGTAATATAACATGTTTGTGAATAAAAAAATTTATAACTGCAGCATGCGGCGAATATAATTATGATTCTAAATTTCTAAGAAGAGGGGAAAAGGTATTTTGAAAATTTAATGCAAATTTTACTCTCTGAGTTAAAAATTAAGAATGGGAACGAGAATGATCATAACTTATACACAAAAGAGAAGACGTTTACGCAGTAGTTGATAAATATTGGGCGTACATTAACATAACATGTTTTAGCCTGTTTTATAGTCTTGTGACTTTATTTTATCATTTATGTACCACAAATGTAAGAAACAGGTTCTGCAATCTTCGTTCCCTGATTTGATGAATACTTCCGGTTATTGAAGTTCATGAGCCGAAAAGCTAGTCGTAGCTCATTGTATTTTGTGATGACTGATGAGGAAAATGCACTCAATTGGTGGAACGTGCCAAGACACCAGACAAGGAAATTGATCCTGTATGCTTAATAAGTTCAACGAACATAAATGTAAATAGATGTACTTGGACTCAACTAAGCTGTGTTGGCCCAAAAACCTCAATTTAATTTAACTCTTGAAGATATTTAAGTTCCCAAAATAGCAATACGTATAACACTAATACAGACAAGTGTTGCTTTATTTAATTCAAATTAACCGAATATAGTTGGCATTAAATCAAATCGGTAACATTCCTATTGTAAAATTATATACAAAAACGCATTCATTATAAATTATCTCTTCCAATTATAGTTCCTTTCTCTGGAAAAATTGTTCTAATAAAATGTTCCATCACTGACCAGTTGACAAGCCTGCTGCCGGAACTTTCATTATTAAACACATAAGACACAAACCTGTATTTGAAACATAAATTCTTGTAAAAAGACTTCTAAGTTCCAAGTTAAATCTATAGAATGAAAATAAAAAGAAACCTTTAGCTATACTGTTTTTAGAAGCATTAGGGCGGTGTTGGGGAAAGTATGTCGTGCAGAAACGACAAATTACTTTGGAATATTTTTCGATATAAATTATGTGATTTCGCAAAACTAGCTTCTTAATCAAACAATCGGATAACCTAGGTAGGCTGGAATTGTTCAACTTTCAACCCCAGACACATTGAGATCAAACACTTTGTGTTTTTTGTTTTCCTTTTTGCAAATGTGTTTTTTGTTTTCCTTTTTGCAAACCGCGTTTGCCGACATTTAATTAAAACGTGTTTGTTCTATCCCTGTAAAGTTTACGTAGGGTGTGCCCCAAACGCTTAAAAGCAGGTGATCGTGGAGAAGGCCTCATATCACTTTCCAAGATACCAAAGGAAACGTGAAAGTCACACAGGGTGCTGTAAAAGGTAATTCATGCTACATACTTTCTACATTAATAGATTTGTGAAAAGCTTTATAATTTGCACATTTATATCTTTGTATATAATATATGGATTCTTGATAGCAAAAAGATGTGGTTCCCACTTGTTTTGCTTCTGGTTGCTGGAAATTTTCAGATTTCAACAGGTGGGTTTGCTTTCGAATTTTTGTAAAGTAAATTATAAAATACCTTGAAATAATGTGAGATTTTAAAGACAAAAATCTATTTTACATCAATAGTAATTTGAGTCGTTTAACGACTCGTGTACGGTTAATTTATTGCACGGTAATTCATATTTAGTGCTTGCATAAACAGTGATACAAACTCTGAGTTACGTTGACTTTCAAATTAATCACGGAAATTGGTTATTGACGTATTTCCAGTAACTCCATTCATATATTATCGACCCCGTTGTAATTAATTCTTGGAAATTCTCTCTTCTGTGCATATGAAATTTGACTTTGTAATCTTTTTTACCAGATGGGGATTTTTTCGGATGAGGTATCGTATTTATATCTATTTCTATAAAGATTTATATAATTTCTTCAAAACAGCATTGGTAAAACAAAGTTTTGGCAAAGTAAACATCACTGAAAGCTCATCCGATGGTTTCTACTGCGAGACTGTCAATTTTGCAACTCCGTTTCAATATGGTGGAACAATCAGAGTTTTCCCCTCATTGAGTCACGAAGATCACCCGGGAAATGAAAACGAGGCTTCGGTTGCTGTTGTTGGTTCCATTGATTGCTATGCCTTCTCAGTCTGTCTCATGGAACCTGCTCGGCCGACAGGGGAAATGACCTTGAATTGGTTTGCATTCAGCGACAGTGTTCTACCACGGGGGGTCCTGACTGGGAGCGTTTATTACAATGCGTTCACAAGTGGAAGTGTAAAGACCGAAGCTTCGCTCGAGTAAGTTTCTTTGATCTTTTACTACGTCACCATGCAATTAATAGAGGCCCCTAGACGTGTGAATCACGAATTAATATTTATGTATGCACATAGATTATAAAAATAGTATATATCTTTGATAAAAAATGCCTCACAAATCACTTTCATTTTATTTATTGTCGTACATACTTGGCCATGTTAAATAAGGTTTTTGTTTGCCGAAATACTTGAAAAAAGTTTGCATAGACGAGTGGCTTGGTATACAAGCCGGAAAACATACGCCTGTATTCTAAAAGCTCACTTACACTCAAACTCATTGATTAATCTTCTCTTAATGTTTCAATGGCGGTATTTCCAGCCGAAAAGGGGCTTGATTTTCAGTGATTTACCTTATATCTTTCCATCTATTGAAAGAAAACTTTCTCATTGACCAGCATTAAAATGCCACACTCAATGAGTGTAAGTAGAGTGAGCTTTTGAATACAGGTGATAATCTTTTAAGACGTACGGCATTGTTAAGCGGTAAGTATTATTATTAATCAAGTTAATATGGAATGCAACGGAAATACCTATCAAATGTTTCAGTAAACTTTGTGTTTACATTTGTACCACTGTTCTTAGATATAATTAGCGAATGCAGACGAATAAAAGTAAATATATTAACTAAAATCTCTTTTGCTCCAGACCTTTAGCGCTCCACCCAAAATATTTCTCAGCGTCCGACATAGTGGAAATACTAAACGGAAAGATGTGATGACTTCGTGGACAGAAGATGTGACTGAAAATCATTTTCGAGTCTGCTTAAGAGAAATGGTTTCATTTTCTGGAATTCATCAGAATCTTTATGTCGTAAGTTTTCTTGAATTTTTTTTAATCACCCACTTGTGCTGCCTAAATAAGCAAAATGACTACTGGCTTTTTACTGAAGAGCTCTTCCAACCAACAACCCCATGCATGCAACTTCGTACATAGTCGTTGAAATTTATGTGTGTTATGAAACTTAAGAAGAGACTTTTGTTTACATATTCATTCCGCATCCCGCTGACTGTATCAGCCAATATAGGCCGTATCAGGCTAGCAAAGATCATGTATTGTAACTATTAGAAAAGAAGTAACGTTCCAATCGTTCTAACTTCTTCTAAAAGTTAAAGAAGTTACAAAAGTCAAAATAAACACAGTTGCATAAGGAGTAGATATATGGCTGACAAATAATGACTCGCTTTGTGTGTTTATTCTTTCCTGCATAAAGACTGGCTCGAATGTGTTGATACTTGTCAACACACCGTTTAATTAGAAGACAATTAGTAAACAAGCGGGACTTCTCATGCTATGTTTGTGTTAAAATCTGCTTATATACTGATTCCAATCAAGCTTCGTAGCTTCTTCTGAACTTTACGTTTTTTTCTACCGCCACAAAACATGTTTCCTTCGGTCGCGGTTCGCGGTAAATCAGTGTTTAATTACTGACCGACTGGGCTTAAAATGTTTAAAACATTTCTAATTTTTCGATATTATTTATTTTTTTTCAATTGACTGTTGCTTACAAATTAATTTTCAGGATTGGGTAGCAATGGAAAATACATTCAGTCGGAACATGACTGATCTTGATTCAATAGGGTTCCTTAACATCAATCAACCTTCTTCTCAAGACAATTACGCATATTGTCAGGTGATAATAACTAGACTTAGCAAATGTAGACAATAATTGAAATGTACAACCACGGTTTAACCGAGAAGGAGAATGAGTTTTTCATCTAATTTTATAATTCATTTAGGTTCAAAATTTTACTCGACGCTTCTATGAGCCCCCAGCAGTTCTTGTCAGCGCCCACCGCCCATTTTTACATCTGACAGACCAAAACATTGCCACGTGGGTTAAGGTAAACAGGAGTTTTCGGATGGATCTACATTAAAAATCTGGCAGTTGTATAAAAAAGAAAGTATTTGAAAATGATCTCGTCGATGAGATTTTGCAACAATATCATTAAAAATTAAATAATATACACCAGTTTGACTTTGCACTTACAAATATCTTTATTACAGGATGTAAGTATTACAGCGTTTGAAGTTTGCATCAAAGATCTTCCTGGAATAAGCGGCCAACATGAGCCAATTATCGTCGACTACGCCGCAGTAGGAGGTATATTATTATTTTTATTAAATGACAATCGAAATGTTTAGTAGCAATTTGAATGCAAGTTTAGTAGCATGTTGCAACACGTATGCTGCTTATGGAGGATACGACCATAAGATTTTACTGCGATTATCGATACTTGACAGTCTTATCTTTTCTATCTAGGTTTCAAAATATCTTTCGAATGAATTACTTCTTTATAGATAAAAGCCATGCGTTTATTACCGAAGATTTGGCGAGGAAATTGTGACGGCTTTTGCTTACTATAGACAGATTATTTCAATTTCATACTGAAACATCTTAGTTCTTTCGTAGACCTTGATCCATGTCTGGACGTCACGTGTGAGAAGTTCGCAGTTTGTCGTGCGTTTGGACCCTACGATGCACGTTGTGTTTGTGTGACAGATTGCCCTTCGGTCGAACAAAATGTCTGCGCTTCAAACGGACAGAACTTTACGAATGTTTGTCTCTTTCAACTGGAAGTCTGCCAAACCAAGGCAAACTATACATACTATCATCACGGGAGTTGCAGAGGTAATACTCTTCTTCTGTTATGATTATATGTGGTTATGTAGCTGCATGTAGTTATATAACGACTTAATCGTTTTTGGACTTTGCCCAAAGTTATACTCCAGGCCAAATCTAACTAAGGTGCGATTTCCCAAGAGGGAGTTAATCATAGAAATAATTTCAGGTTTTTCGCACGATGAAGATAAAGTAAAAATCCGAGGCCATTTGCCTAAAACCAGGTTAAATTTAACACACAGTAAATGCTTACCGGGCTTTGTAACAAGGGTGAATTTCGTTTTTGACTAATCAGAGCATTTGCATGTTTACCTTTTGCCGCTAAGCCAATCAGAATCAGTACTTCTGGTAGGGCTATGTGCAAAGCAAATCACCGTGGTTACAATTTAGCTTTAAGTTGAGAAATTTTAACCCTCGCTTAGCGTTAGCCTGTTTTTAAACAACCGGCCCCCGAAGGTATATTGTTGGTAATCGAGAGAAAGGAATCCAATCTAAGTGCTGTGCGTTGCCGGTGAACTAAACTCTGGCCTCTGCATCATTGCCTGTGTGAATTTAGGTGTCGTTAACGCTAAATTATGTGGAGCATATTTATTTAGGTTTCCCATTGACAAGAGGCCGCAGACATGTAACCGACGTTCTTCGCTGGTCAGACTCACATTGCCAGACTGTTCAATTTGATCCTTTAACTTTTTATCCCGACAAGCCTGTCCACGTGCAGATCAGCGTGAGCCACGTGAATGATACGAGTAACGTACATGACGCGGCGGTGTCATGGGTAGAAAATGTAAGCGAAAACAATTTCACGTTTTGTGTCATGGAATCAGGAAGAAATGAAGGTCCACCCCATGGATTTGCCACTGTTGAGTATATGGCTTATCAAGGCGCTCCCAGCGGAGGGTTGGCAGGAGTAGAGTCAATTCCGGAGTGGTGGACTGGAACTAAGTGCCAACGTGTGGACATATCTTTGGTGAGAAGAAATTCATAATGATAGAAGCCTCTTTTGTGAACTCACAAAAATATCGAGAGACTGAAAAGCGAATGTGACCGTAATCAACAAAAAAAGTATATCTTGGAGGCAAAATATGGCCTCGTAATTCTCCTAATTTTCCTAATATACTGAATGTTAGTAATATCAACAGTTCATCGCAATCATTGCTACCGTGGTTTAAAATAATGAAAGTAATCACTGAGTGAATATCTCAGGTTTGATTGGATTTTATCACGGTTACATGGTTGCCGTGAACTTATTTTAAAACTTAAGATTTATTTATTGTTAAAAGTGTTGATGTCAACAGCCGTCAATTTTGCCCATTGACTAGACTGGATTGTTTGTAAAGTGGAATTTCAAATATCGTTTGCAATCACAAGTGGACGTACATTTCACATAACAAGCAGGAATGAAACCCCCGTAAATACTTTATTGGCATTTGAAATTGAGCAGAATATAATGTTCGGATTAGGTTTTGGTTGACGGAATCATATTTGACCTCCACACCAGAGTTGAAAAAATTTGAATCTTTTGTTTGAATATAATATTCGTAAATTTACGATCTTCCAGCACGATTTTCCATTTTTTACTAAATCATCTTTCTTAAAGGGATCATTTTCGTCCGCACCTACTGTCCTGGTTACTGCAGAACATCATCGACTGAGCCTCAAACACGACGCTGCCTCTCTGTGGTTGGAAGATGTCACAAGCTCGTCATTTAAATTCTGTCTTCGTGAGTTACAAAACTTTGATGGACCTCATCAGGACATCTATGTTGTAAGTACAGATATCCTATTAACTCTAAGTAATGACGTAGACTATGCACGTCTGCGCGCCCAAGGACATTTTAAAATGTAGGAAAATGTATTTAATGGAACGACCAGTGGCGTAGCCAGCCTGACGATTTTGTCCCGCTATATAAATTTCGAGGTATTATAATTATTCATGCCTTTAGCAGTTTTCACAGTCAGTGAACTAAAATATTAGCATAGCGGGACAAATCGACAGGCTGGCTACGCTACTGGGAACGACCAGTAAGTACGTGTATCGATCACACGAGTAATGGCATACGCCAAGAAATGACAGAAATTTACAGGCATACAATTGTTACTAACATCTTTTCTCCACTGAGAATGACTATGATTGTACTGGTGCCATTAATGTTTATATCAATTTTTGACGAATCCATGCAATTCATACAAGTATCATTTATACTTCCAAAAGAATGTTTCCATGCTATAGCTCGCGAAGTTGAGGCTCTGTTTTCTCTTTACCTCTAACTTGTTTTATACCTCTTGCATATTCCTGATGCTTGAATTATATCATTTATATTTAGAACTGGCTAGCGTTCGAAACAATTGAACAGCCGTTGTTCACTGAACACAGTTCTAGTTATTTCGCCCAGTCATCCCAGAATCCTTTATCAATAACCAATTATGCCCAATGCCAGGTAATATTTACAATACTCATGAGAAAAGTTTGAAGATTTTAATTGAATTAAAATTCCAATGATGGAGGTTTCTTGTTGGAATATTGCTTAGTTTGCTATAATATGAGCAAAAAGATGCGTTTAGAACGGAGATCTCATTATCAGGCTCTTAAATACATTACTGCCTGTTTCCAGCCGACTTTAATTATTAAGTCGAATAAGAGAAATTCGATTTTTTTAAATTTTAAATCACTCGAATTTAGGATGTTCCTCTTTCCGAAAATTATACACAACCGCCAACAGTGCTACTTTCAGCAAAGCATAGTTCATCTGGAGGAAATGTTAATCCAAAACACAACGCGATTTCTGCATGGATCGAGGTTTGTGCCTTCCTCAATATTTTCTTAGCTGAATTATTGAACGTTCAAAGGATGTTGACTGAATCGGAAAGTTTGTATTTGCAGTATTTGTATAGTTATATGGAATTCATATTCTTGTATGTTTGCATGGTGACAGTCGATAAGTATTTAATACTGCAAAGCTTTCGGTCCGTTAACCCTGGCCTTCATCAGTGCAATTACTTAGCGTCTAGGAGTGTATCACGTTGAAGCATCCATTGCGAAGCCTGTAATACCCAATTGCTCTTTGTGTCCAATCATTATATAGACAATCACAACTTCTTCATTCAAACTTTGTTTCAAAGAGCTGTACAGCAGCAATGGCTATGATGCTGTAACGGTTTCCCATGTTGCTTTAAGAGGTGAGTACAAATTCACCTTTATTACACTAATTTCGTGGAATAATTCAACAAAAATAAAATTTTATTTCTCTATGCTTTTATATCGTTTCCTATATACCTTATACTTTCACAGAAATCTGTGACCCGGATTGGGTATACTATAAAGGGTATTGTTACCGGGCAGAATCGGCGTGTGAAACATGGACAACTGCTTCTGCGAGGTGCATGGCTTACAATTCAAATCTTGTCGGAATTGAAAATGCTGAAGAGGACGTCTTTGTTCAACATCTTCATCATGGTCGGCCATCTTGGATTGGACTTAATGATCAAGCAAATGAAGGGGTGTATTTATGGACAGATGGTGGACCTGTCTCGTACACACACTGGGCTCCAGGGATGTCCACACCTTACAGTGATGGAGAGGACTGTGTTGAAAGTTCGGGCAGAGATATGAAATATCACTGGCAATCATCATCATGTAACAACTGTCGAGATTTTACTTGCAAGAAAGGTTAAGTACAAATTCTTTTAAAAATGTAAAGGTCGGCACACTCCACATTGAAAAAACCGCTTTGTTTGCATTTTTGATCACTATATTTCTAAAAAATTAAAAAAACTAGAATATCTAACGCCATTTTAGTATAAGTTTATGCTCACGAAAAAATTAGTCAAAAATGAAAGTTAGGAATTGATTCTGCAACATTTTCACCCTTTCCAACCTTCACCCTTCTATATAAATCAGGAAACCCATTTTTTTCACCACAATCAAACTTGCATAAATAAAAACGACTATTCAGTAGAAAACATACATGCAGCAGCCCGGTAATGCACACCATATGTGGTGTGCACTTACATACAGTATATTTATTTTAATCAAAAGATAGTTTTGTTTTTGTAAAAATAGGACTGACTAATTTAACTAACCGCGGACGAATCGAAAACTTAAAGCCAACAAAAAAGTCAGACGTTCAATTTTAAAGGAAAAAAAGGACAAATACCCCAGTTCTCGCATGGATATTTTTTAATTCTGAAAGGTCCAACTTAAACTTAGAAAACACAAGCATTTTCGTTTGTCATTACCCAAGATCATGGCAAATCAATTTTACTACGCATTTTCGTAGACTTTTTTAAGATCAGCCCATTATTTAAAATAATTAATTATTTATCCATCTGCTTTTTTTTTTTAACAATTGTATACTCCTCAATGATAACATTCTTCATATCAAAAGCAAAAATATTCGGACAAAGGCGTAGCTTTTAAAGTTTTTCAACTCAACTACATTGTACTATAAGGGTACATTGGGTAACGCGTGTGCATTGTGTGGCCATAATGCATGCTTGTAGCTTTTGAAATTTTCAAGAATTCGGCTAAACACTGTTGACTTCTGTTGACTATGTTGTTTTCGCACCTTTTATTGCCAAGCAAAATCTCAAATAACATGTAAAGAGAATTGCATTATTGATCCAAGAATATTTGTCCCCCACTTAGTGTTTCTATAACTGTATATAAACACAGGGAAAACGTTTTTAATTTCCTTTGTATTATAATTTACTAAAAAGATTTCATACAATTTTTGTAATTCGATTCAATTACACAAACTCTCACTACTACTTGGCTTGTCAATTTCGGCGGGAAAATAACACGACGGCCATTTATATACAGTTATAGAAACACGCTTCTCGACTAATCAGAACGCGCGTTCTTGTACAATGATACGCCATAATACACGAGACTCTTTTTTAATTCTTAAGTGAAGCAAAGGCTAGCAAAAGCATGAGTCTTTTTTTGCGCCACCCGCGGTATCTCCACCGACTACTGGAATAGAACATGACGGCTTTTTTTCTTTTCAGATTACGATGAATGCAGCGAAAATATGAACACATGCGACCAAAATGCAGTTTGTACAAATAATGCAGGCTCCTATACCTGCCAATGCCGGAGTGGTTTTTATGGGGATGGTCATGTATGCACAGGTAATGACTAAATCAAAGGAAGTATATATACTTTGTAGCACATTGTGGACACACTTTGTTTATGGAAGAATAAAAGGAGTAAAGTTAAGATAGAAAATCAGAAAATCATCTTCCACCATTTTTCGCATTTAGAACCAAAAAAACGACTGATCATTATCATTTATAGACCCTCCGCGGAGGATTAGGCAAAATATTTCCCTCAGTAATGATATTTCTTTGCCTCGGGATTCTGAGCTGGTAGAATAGCCAAACATACAGTGCAAAGTTTAATTTCGTAAAAGTATTCCACCATATTTGCGGCGAAAATTACTCGACGGACAGGGAACGAGCGGGGTATTCAAAAGTCAAATATCCCGCTCAAGCGTGGTGGTATTCTGGTGAAAATCATGACCCTGGCAAAGTACCCAGTGTACGAGCAGTACGGGGCATGGTATTCGCTCAAAAATTCCATGTCCATGTGGTATAAAGCAGGTTCTGTGAGTGGATTAAAGTTTATGTGAGGTATAATATTGTAAATAATTGTGAGGGCCGTCGCCAGCAGCTTATATTTGGGGGTGTGCATATTCATATATTCCTCTTATGCCCGACTGATTGCTTTTATTAGCTATTGTTTCCACGGTTGTACGAACATGAATATATGCTTATGCTGTCAGTGCGGCCGATTTGGCACATGCTCGCGGTGACCCGAAACTGTCACTAAGCTGGCCCTCGCGGGACGTAATGACAGTCGAACTGTATTGTGCGATTTCAGCGCGTATATGTAAGTGCAAGTGGAAGCCGGCCTTTAGGCTTCTAGCGACGACCCTGATAATTGTCTTCGATGTTGTGCATAGTATTAGGCCGGTGAGAGGCGAGCCTTGTTGGACTTCTATATTATTTTAAACCTACTGCAGATTGGTTGAGATCGTCTGACATAGCCTAAAATATAACTTAAAAAAATGTAAAAATGTAATTAAAATTGATAGCTCAATAAATTTATGTTACTGCAGACATCGACGAGTGCTCCAGTGGAACTCACACGTGCCACCATTTGGCGAATTGTATCAACAATGCCGGCTCCTACACATGTCAATGCCGCAGCAACTACATTGGAGATGGGCGCTACAGCTGCACAGGTGAATATTGCACATAGGCGTATAGAGTACGAGGCGGAGTCTCAGAGTTACCCCGCGAAAAATCCTGGAAAACCTATAATTTTCCATACACATGGGATAATAATAGCAGATTTGAAATGTTTTAAGTTAAGCTCAATTAATGGGATTAGTTCCGCTTGATTGTCTGTATTTCAAAGGAGCGATCATTACGCGACATTTTACAAAGAATGAAAAATTCTTCACCTTAAGCCCATGCTATTGCAAAATTTCCTACTAATGCATGCATGATAACAGTATCATTTTCTTTAGCCAATTGTGGAGATCCAGGATACCCACAGAGAGGATACGCTGTTGGTTCGGATTTCACCGAGGGTCACACGGTCACATTCCGTTGTCATTACACTGGTGAATCGGTGGATGGTGCTTTTTCTACCACCTGTTCGTCCAGCGCCACGTGGAGTCAATCCACTCCTTCGACATGTGAGTTTGTATTTTTTTTCTTAAAGTATTTTTTTCTCGGAAAAACGTGGACTTGTAAATCACGGACTCACGGACTAAGTCCGTGATATAAAACGCGGACTTGTAAAGTGCACACTTTTAAATAAAGGACTAAAGGCGGATTTCCACTTACAGCGAAATCGTTCGCTAGCGAAATATTTGCATATTTTCTTTTGAATTTTAACAGCATAAATAAATCAGTTCGACTTGACTGTTTTCAATTAGGGGAAACAAGCCTTTAATAATCCTTTTCCCCCTCAAAGATGGGAAACAAGCCTCATTTTCCTCAGATCTCACCACTAACTTTCCCCTTTAAAGAAAAATACCAGAAGGCTCCCAAAGCTCATTGATAACGAGACAATGACTTGATAAAAAAGGTTTATTTAATACTTACCATTTTCAATTTGCCGAACAATTCTCAACTAGTTTTACAATTTACGACGCGTTTTAGTTTTGGATATACTTCATGTTTTTGATTAATTAAGGTAGACGTGTTTATTTACATGTCCGTGTTTTACCACTGACTGAGTTCGTTATTTACAAGTCCGTACAGTTCAAGATTTACAGTCCTCGTTTTTCCAATCAGTCAAGTCAGTTTAGTCCAGTCTAGTCCAGTCCGATTTTACAACATTCCGTTTAATCCTCGATCAGCACAGCGAAATACAAACTTTCAGCCTCAGGCTCAGTCTTTACGTTCTAAACAAAGACAAAGTTTACTTTACAAAAACTAAACTTTGCATTTATACTAATTTCAGTAATCTCTTTCTTGTTATGCTAGTATATTTTCTTTTTTTTTGCAAAAATCTAAGATCAATCGATAGGGTGTATGCATACAGCTATGGCTTAGCTTGTTTTTTTAATTCTTTGCAATAGGTTTCTCCCCTAGTATTCGTCTTACTTCAGGCAGTTGTGGAAGAGTTGAAGTTTACCATCCGTCTTATGGATGGGGAACGGTGTGCGATGATTTATGGGATATAAATGACGCCAATGTGGTATGTCGTCAACTTGGATACAATAGAGCTAATGGTGCGTATCAATCTGCCCACTACGGTCAAGGCACTGGACAGATATTGCTTGATAATTTACAATGTACTGGTTCTGAGTCATATCTTTGGGACTGCCCTGCCTATATTGGTTGGGCCCGGAACGACTGTAGCCATTCTGAGGATGCAAGTGTTTCTTGCACCTATTAAAAGGATGCTTCACGCAAGCTAGAACACTAAATTCGATCGAAAGATTGATAACGTTTGATTTTAAGGTACAGCAGTAAAATTATATGGTATGAATCAAATTATAATTGTATAGTTAAAATGATCAATTCAACGTGTATTTCCAAAACAATAAACTGAACTCTTCATACATACACAGTTTGCGCAATCTGACTTTACTTTCTGGTTAGGCCCAAATAATTACATTAATTACATTTAAATTACATTTTCGTTTTTCTAAAACGCGATCGAATTATAGAAACGGTTAACTTCTTTCAAAATACTTAAGAATTAATTACTTTATTAGGTCGAGACTTTGAGAGATTTGAAAATATTCACGGTGAGCAAGAGGATTTGGGGTTGAAAGCAATGGACGACTTGCACTGTAGACTAATTTAATATTTTTTGATCGAAGTAATGAAAAGAAAATAAATCATCACACCTAGAAAGGCATATATAGTTGAATTAGTGCAAATGCAAAGTTTGGCTGCGAAATTTGGTAAAATAGGGAAAAAATAGCCAAGCGAAGTTGGCATATTTTGTATACTTTTGTATTACGTGTGGAAATGTGTAACTAAATTAGTTACAAACTTCCGGTCGTAATACAAAAGCATACAAAATTCAATAACTTCGCATGGCCATATTTTCTTTAATTTACAACAATTCACAGCCAAACTTGGCGGTTTTACTAATTTTAGAAAGCTCTTTCAGAAAATTTCCTTTTTATCGCTGAGATAAGAAATTAGCCTAAAGCGCAAGTCGTCCTTTAGTGTACACTGTAATGACCATCCAATTTGAAACGAATAGCTGCATGATACTCCAAGAATATTAGCACCAAAAAATTGCAATACTGGACGCAATAAAATTCAGAATTTTTCTCTGTCCTTCTGAGGGACAGCAAGGGCGCCAGAGCCATAAAGGGTTTTTAAGGTTTGGTCATAGGCGATCTTTATGAACGACGCTATTGCCTGATTCTAACTCCAAGTCTAACTTGGAACCTGAAAAACTCCAACCGCGTACCCTGGTTACGAGTTTAGAAGAACTCTCGTACGCCAGTCGAGTCGGATCCAGGTCACTGCGTAGTATAATTCAACATCAACGCCAGTGTAAAGTTAACCGGCAATATTTTTGTCGAGAACAGAGTTGTATTGTGACTTGCTTTGCAGTGACTTGAAACCTCTTTTTTCTCTGGAATATATATATATATATATATATATATATATATATATATATATATATATATATATATATATATATATATATATATATATATATATATTAAGAACTTACTGACTGAGAGTGAGGTCGGTACGGTAAAATATCAAACCGAGGCCTTGCCGTATTGACCGAGCGATAGCGAGGTCAATACACCAAGACCGAAGTTTGATATTTTACCGTACAGACCGAACAGTCGAAGTTAGTAAGTTTTTTATTATATGGCATATTTCATGCAGACATTGTAATGATTAATTCTTTATGAGTAATTTTAATGATCAATCTCATCCGGGACACGACACCAAAACATCGGCCTAAAGTGTAAAAAAACCGCTCTATTTTGTAAAATATAAATTTATTATTTTTATTTCAAATTCATTATTTTCCGTTTAAGAATTTAATCTGTTTTTCAGTTTAAATTTAGTTAGTTTTTGCCGTGAGTTTTGCCTTGTTTTCACAGGGCAATAAGAATTGCGTATTGCCCGTGGGCAATACGGGGAAATCCGGACCTGTCAGCAGCCAATCAAATTGCAGAATTAACCAAAACAAGCGCTTGCCATATAATAAATATATATATATATATATATATATATATATATATATATATATATATATATATATATATATATATATATATATATATATGACTATTTTGAGATGCTACATAGCTTGATTTTATTGTTATATGTGTGAGTTTATTGGGATCAAGAAAGAAAGAACTTAATCAATATGAAAGGACTATAAATGTAAGTACACTCTTATTATAATTATACTTCGTATATGGCACAGAGGTGCTGTGGTGCATTCCATGTAAATTTTATGCACCAAAAACAAGCAAAATTTTACAATAAGTACAAACATATTACGATTTTGTAACATCGTATCTTCAGCGAGACCGTTGCATGACCGCGTGAGCATGCAGCATGGCTTGAGCCTTGGGTATGTGTTTAGTTTTGAATTTCCGGCATGATTCGATGTCGCTACTATAAGCGACCGGAGTTTACTGCTTTGGGGTTTCATCAGCTCAACTTGTATAAAAGCTTTTCTTGGTAATTGCAGGCTAGACACCGGCAATGATATGTTGATGATATATACTTGAAACATAAAATATAAACAATAATATTGTGAAATTATCTCTTGCTCAATTACATAGGTCTCTTTTCATCAGACTGGGATGCTAAATCTCGGGGATCTCTTCTTACTCTTGTAAAGTACTTCCTAAGTACTGAACGTTAATTTGTATTATTACTATTAATACGTCTTTTCAATCAGGCCAGGATGCTAAATCTTGCGTAATCGTGCATAAGGGCGATCATTCTGACATATAAATTGTATTTGTATATTATTGTATTTGTATATTATAATTTACATATTTGTAAATTGTAAAATTAATATTGTTGATAAGTATCATTTTTGCGAACATACAAATTTTACTGCATCATATGCATGCATAAAAATGAGTATGGCAAACATTTTTACACTTGTGGGTCCCAACAGAGTGCTTAGGCATTCAAACTCTAACAATTGCATTGCTATGGGTGATTTCAATAGTTTTCATTTTTTTTGGGACACCCTGTGGATAGTAGCATAGGTAGTATAATTAGTTTAAGGTAGTCAAATTGAGCATCTCGCTTTACATTTTAAGCACCTGTGAGTTTGGCATAATAATAAGGCATCCGAATTCGAACAAAAGCTTGATTTTAAAATAGTGGGTTTTTTCCTTGATACACACTGTATTTCTATTTTCGTATTTTAAATTCTTCCGTGTGCTATGCATCATTGTAAAATGAAGAAAATCGCAAAATTAATTAAAGATTTAAAGTGTTCTTTATAAACTTCAGTTTAATTCAGGCTTTAGATATCAACTCCACAGTAACGATAAGAACAACTCCAAGTTGGAACCAGTTTGTAGATATAGAACAATCCACAATTCATTACTTCAATATTTAGCTGATAATTACAACAATTTCCGGCCCAACTGAAGCAAACGGTACGAGTTACTTTTCCTTCGTTTATGGTAGGATGAGCTCCATTCAACCAAGGGATACCATGAGTGGAACATTGCGCAATGTTGGTGTTTAATCGCGGAATGCATGATGTCGACATCTGAGTCCCAGCACTACCAGCAAATCTGTACCACCCAGTTGATAAACCATCATCGCACATTACAGAGTTGCTAACATAACTAACTTTTCGATCGATGCTGTCAAGCAGTGTGTAACTGTTGCACTCTGGCACCGCTAGAAAATTTGAAAGAAAGAAATCTGAGAGTCTCACTCGCACTCATTCAGCAAGAGATTTAATTCAATCACTTCCTAGTTCGTAATGATTCTTTTGCAACATTTCCATCAATTAAGAAATTGATTTTCAGACTATGTGCACACAGTAACGTTTTCGAGCGTTTTCACAATCGTTTTCATACCAAAAAGATTTCAAACACCGTCAATTTACAATAGAAGTATAACATATTAAAAATATTTTTCTTTGGGTCGTGTGGACAGGGCATCTAAAATAGACAAAAATAGACAAAATATAATAAAATAGACAAAAACGATTTTGAAAACGATCGAAAAGGACGGTTGTGTCCACATAACCTCAGCGCTTTACCTCAGTTAAATCAATTTTTTCATTGAATAGGAAAAAACGCTCTCACTGTTTAGGACAATACAATTTCTAAACGGTACTACCCCTAATAATCACGCCACTACCCCTCGATCGGGACTTAGGCCAAACATTAGTGTAATTGAAAGTTCATGAATAACTAATAAGTTTGATTGGCTTGTTTACGAGATGGTTTTTACACCATCAAAAAAGCTCACTAATTTTTCAGTTACTAAAAAACGTCGTGATTTTCTGTCTTCATGTTTCTGTTTATGAACACATTTCCTAGAGCCAGCGGTGCATATATACTTTGTTTCTGGTTATGTCTAGATCTGGATATTGTTGAATAAAAACATTCTCATCAGAACTTGAAATGCGTGCATGCAGTTATCCCTCAGACCCTCACCAATTTAAAACCAGGAAACTAATATGCCGAGCTAAAGGGGTTAAACCTGAGCTCAGCTTACTCAACAGCTTACTCACACTCAGACTCAGTGAGTTAGACATAGACATGATTTTGAAAGTCGTGTAATTAAGAAGTGTATAGAATAAGTTTGAATGTCTTGTTTATTAAATTCTTTATATTCAGTCAAAAAAGCCATCACTTAAGCCGGTTTTCCACTACCGATATTTTTCGTGCGAAGAGACATTTTACTTTTGTTTCAGAGCTCTCAACTGCAACTATCTGGAACAAATTGCTCAAATACAAAAGAATAAAGTCGCTTCGCGCGAAAAATATCGCTAGTGGAAAACCGGGCTCTTAATCTCGTAATGCTAATTTTATACTTGTAGTTTATCAAATCGATTTTTTTGTCATTAAAACACACTTGACAATGAGGCCAGTATGACCTAGAAACGTCGCAATTTTCTGCCTTTGTCGTTTATTATTTTCATTATAACTAAAACCTTACTTATCAAAACAGAAATAAGAATATTATAATTACCGTGGAAAGTTACGCAACCTTTCCGGATTATTCAAGATACTAAGATGATAGCGAGATTATATCAAATGCAGGAGAGTATATGCAATATACCCTAACATGAAGTCTCTCCAACATTTGCAAGTGTAAGTTTTTTAATAAAGTTTTTTTAGGTTCTTTTCTAAAATATAGGAAAGCAATTACTCCTCTCATACCAATTGGGAGGAGGGTTTTTTCTCCTAGATTTACAGCCAGGTATATGAATCATAAAGATATGTCTTTACTCAGTTTAGTTCATATTATAACGGTCGATTTCTTATTAAATTCGGCGACATAAACTTCTCATATATAACAATAATTACCTCTACAAGTGTGACCATCTCCTGTATAACCTCCTCGACATCGACAGTTATATGAACCAATAGTGTTGGAACAATCAGCATTTTGATCACAATTATCTGTATTTTGAGAGCACTCGTCGTAATCTACAGACATATGGATATTAAAAATATGGCTTTTCGGTCCTATATATAATCGTGTGATTTTGAGTCTTGAAATCTTACAATAGTGAAATATATAATTTCTATTTGCTCTACAGGTATTACTTCAGGCAAAAACATATAAATACGGTACCTTTTTTACACGTGAAATTACGGCAATTTGTACATGATGACGGTTGCCAGTAGTATTTCGACTTCCTGCCTGAACTCTCAACACAGTCCTTCGCCTCGTTGAATGCCGCTGGTACTTCCGGAGCCCAGTTTGTGTACGAGACAGCTCCGCCATCTGTCCATAAATACACCCCTTCATTTGCTCGGTCATTAAGTCCAATCCAAGATGGCTGACCATATTGAAGGTGTTGAACAAAGACGTCCTCTTCAGCACTTTCAATTCCGACAAGATTCGAACCATAGTTTAGGCACATTGCTGACGCGTTTGTCCACGTCTCGCATGTCGATTCTTTTTTATAACAGAATCCTTGGTAATATACCCAGCCCGGCTCACAAATTTCTATTAGGAAAATGCATGTGAAGTAAGAGAATGTTGTCAAATGAATAGAGATATCCCTACATGATCAAAACAGGCTGTCTCACCTTTTAAAACAACATGGGAAACAGTCACCGCATCATAGCCATTATTGCTGTATAATTCTTTAAAGCAAAGTTTGAAGGACGATGTAGTAATGGTCTAGAAAGGGTAATGATAAACTGCATTGTCCATATTAAATATATAGTTAACGACCCTTTGATCTGACAAAATACATGTTTCTTTCGCTAATTGCAAGAGTTTGTTTTATATACATATATCTGAAATAAGTCGTTGAATTGCTACTCAGGAACGAGAAAATGCGAGAAAAAATACCATGCATGCAGACGAATACCTCAATCCATGCAGAGATTGCGTTGTGTTTTGGATCTACATTTCCTCCTGATGTACTGTGTTTAGGTGAAACTAACACTGTGGGTGGATTTACGTAATTTGCCACGAACGAAACATCCTGAAATAATGAAGTTCATATTTTTTTATAATGTTTTACGAACACACAGTTTTATTAGAGAAAATACTTAGTACGCCAGTATTCCTGAATGTAGAGAATGATTTGGTTAGAATGAATTATTGTTCCTACCTGAATATTTATTTGTCCATGCAAATTAATCTTTATAAGTTACGATGTTACCTGACACTGAGCATAATTGTTGCTTGGCCAGGGATCCTGGGAGGTCTGGGTAAAATTAGTATAACTGTGTTCAGTGAGCAGCGGTTGTTCAAGTTTGTCAAAAGCCAGCCAGTTCTAAATGAAACAATTTATGCGTTTGAGAGATAGCAAGTTTATTACGATGTCATGCATTTATTTGAAAAGACCATTTATATTCCAAAGTTGTTTAATTTAAGCTATGGTATTCAAAGTCGCTAAAGAATAGTTTCTGTAAGCATGCAGTTATAATTATGGCAAGCATGTTTGCAGATGATACGGTGCAGATGAAATATCAAGTCCTAAAATTGAACTCGGCGAATCAGTTATTAAACAGGTCCAAAAATCAAAAACATTAGGTGTTATAATTGACCAAAATCTTTCATGGAGCCATCAAATCCAACACATTTTCACCAAAGCTTCACGAGGAATAGGAATGATGCGACGAATAAAACAGTTTGTCCCAAAATCAACTCTAATAAAAATTTATAATGCTATTGTGTTATCACACTTTGACTATTGTAGCCTTGTATGGGATAACTGTTGTGAATACTTAAAAAATAGACTTCAGAAATTGCAAAATAGAGCAGCTCGCGTCATAACTGGTAAAACATACGAAGTTAGTAGCGAAGATGTCCTAAAGGAATTGGACTGGAAGCCTTTAAATCAACGATACAATGTCAACAAAGCAATCTTTCTGCACAAAATGCGAAATCAAAAAAATCCATCATCAATTTCTAACATGTTCAAAATAAAAAGCAACGATAGATATAATCTAAGAAGCAACTATAACGATTACGATCTTGGGAAACCTAAAACAAATTTCATGAAAAAAAGTTTCAGTTACTCAGCTGCATCACTTTGGAATGGTTTATCCAATGAAGCGAAAGAATTAGGCATAAGTACTAAAAAATTTAAACGTATTCTTGACGACACTTGACCCAACACCAAATGTATATCTATAGTTATATTTGTATATTTCTGTAATGTATTTCAGTTCTTTTTAATTGCATGCGTGTGATACACGGCCCTTTGAAAATCAGGCTAACTGAAAGGTTACCGTGTTTAAATATTTTTAAATAATAATAATAATAATAATAATTATTGCAAAATCATGAGCTAATTGTATATGTCGTTTTGCAAAGACATGTCGACTGTAAAACTAAAGGCCATTACACTAATAATCATCATTTTAACTTCATAAAGAGTTTTTGATGGTTTCAAGCCTAAATTTTTAAAATTTTGGGGTACAGTAAAACGGGCGACGTTCATTTCATGATAAAGCTTCGGTTTTATTAGCTTAGGAATTTGTTTGCTTGGTTTGAATTGGAAGGGGATTGCTACCTGCATTGTATTTCTCAGTGAAATATTTTGTAGTTAGTTCAATACTTACAACATAGATATCCTGGTGAGGTCCATCAAAGTTTTGTAACTCACGGAGACACACTTTAAATGACGAGCTGGTGACGTCTTCTAACCACAGTGATGCAGCGTCGTGTTTAAGACTAAGCCGATAATGTTCTGCTGTGACCAAAACAGTAGGTGTGGAAGAAAATGATCCCTTTATAGTGTAACGAATATGAAAAAGAAGTGTTTGAATGTCTTAACAGCATACTTTTTTACAAATTTATGCTCACCAGAGATATGTCGACGAGTTGACATTTGGTTCCAGTCCACCACTCCGGAATTGACACAACCCCTGCCAATCCTCCACTTGGGGCTCCTTGATAAGCCATATACTCCACGGTAGCAAATCCATGGGGTGGACCTTCATTTCTTCCTGACTCCATCACACAGAACGTGAAATTATTGTCGTTGACATCTTCTACCCACGAAACCGCGGCATCATGTACCTGGCTCGTGTCATTCACGTGGCTCACGCTGGTCTGCACGTGGACAGGCTTGTCAGGATAGAAAGTTAACGGATCAAATTCAACAGTCTGGCAATGAGCGTCTGACCAACGAGGAACTTTTGGGACATTTCTTCGACCTCTTGACTTTGGGAAACCTTAAATTATTGATGAGATTACAGAGCTGAAGGGTTTACTGACTCAGTTTTGAAGATACAAATACAATGCATACCTCTGCAACTTCCGTGATGGTAGTATGTATAGTTTGCTTTTGTTTGACAAACTTCCAGTTGGAAAAGACAAACATTGGTAAAGCTTCGTCCGTTCGAAGCGCAGACATTTTGTTCGACTGAAGGACAATCTGTCACACAGACACATCGTGCATCGTAGGGACCAAACGCACGACAAACTGCAAACTTCTCACATGTAACGTCCAGACAGGGATCAAGATCTATGAAAACATTGAAAAATGAAGCTTGCAATTCGCAACAATTGGCTAGGTTTCCTGCCTAAGACTCATGCAAATGGTCTACTATTTATTTGTTTTCATGCACGTCGTTAAGACTACCTAGCTGTACACATGCTCTTTTGGTTTGAAGATTCTCTTGTTTACCTCCCACTGCGGTATAGTCCACATTAATTGGTTCATGACGCCCACTTTTCCCCGGAAGATCTTTTATACAAACTTCGAACTCTGTAGTGCTTATATCCTATGAAAAAAAAACAATCGAATAGGGGAATATTCTAACTCAAGCGAATAATACAGGGCTGTTGGCACATCCATCGATCTTTGCATTATACAATTTTTCACAAGCTTTAATGTTGACTTTTAATTAAGGAAGTTACCTTAACCCATGATACAATGTTCTGATCTGTCAAAGATGACGGCAAGCCTTGTCTACGGTTAGCGCTGACAAGAACTGCCGGCAACTGTTGGAACCGACGAGAGAAGTTTTGAACCTGAGTAAAAATATTAAATGATACACATCATTCAAGTCAGCTATAAATCGGTTTTTATCCGACAAATATTTGCATTCATGATGACAAAATAAAGTCGAAAATTTCAATAATCTTTGATAAATGCTTATACACATTTGGAACTATACAATTGTATTGAAGTACTAAGCGGTTCTCGAAATTTTTACCTGGCAATATGCATAATTGTTCCGAGAAGAAGGTTGGTTAATGTTAGAGAACAATACTGAATCAAGATCTTCCATGTTCCGACAGAATGTATTTTCCATTGCTACCCAATCCTAAAAACGGAAATTGGAAGTGCTCTAACGTCAAATAAAAATATTTAATCTTCCGGTGTAGTTTGTCAACTGTCTCTGCATGCATTTAATCCGGGTTTAAAATAACATGTATATATAAGGCGTGCTCAGATTGGTTGAAACCCGTGTTTGGATCAGGCCATCCAAACACGGAAATTTAATTCGATTATGAAAATCAAACTTGGAACATCGCCTTGTTTGTTGTTATTTTATTAAACAATTACTTAATGGTTTCCCGTGTGACTCGTGTTTCGCGTACTTTCCTTAACGCTCGCAACATTCCCCTGTGTTTGAATTCAAACATTCAGGCCATCCAAACACGGAAACCATTAAACAATTGTTTAATCTTGCATGTCTATTTTGAACTGTTACAACTGTTTGGAAATTTTGAGCTGTTACGCGATATCCAGTATTTTAGAATTACGTGCAGTGTTTTGAACTTTGATTTACACGGTTCCATTTTAACCATTTGCCTGATGGAGTCCTGCGGGGACATGAGAGGAGCTGTTTCGCAATATATATATAAAGAATTATATTTGCATTTTGATGAAATACGAATATTGTACTTACGATATGTAGATTCTCATGGGTTCCGGAGAATGAAATCACTTCTCTCAAGCAAACCCGAAGCTGTGTTTCAGTGACGTCTTCTGCCCACGAGGTCATCATGTCTTTTCTTTCAGTATTACCAACATGACGTACACTCAGAAGAATTTTGGGTGGGACGTTGAAAACCTGGAACATGCATGGATTCATTCAATTTCATTTGTCTGTTTGCTTATCAAAATTTTACAACATTTATGATATACGCGTTAACAAGTTTCAAATCAAAGTTTTCACCGCCAGATTGTTTCATCGAGTTGACAATAACATTGACTAGCTAGTACTAGTCGATCTGGGAAAAGCGTACTAAATGTAGGGCGAATACTGCATTTATTCAAGAATTATTGTGTTATTAGAGACAAATGAAAGTAAAAATTTTTGAAGATGGTCTAGTTAAAACAATAGATCGAGACACTTATTTACTAACAAACAGTATACAATAAAATTACAGTATCATCTATTTTGAAGACAGGTTTTGATATTAGGATTGTTTAGTAAAGACTAACTCGAGAAAAAAATACGTCGGTGCAAACACTGCCACTGGTGAAAGCACCGTAGGAAACAGTTCCAGTCAGGGTTCCCCGTGGTAGAAAACCATCACTGAATGCAAACCAATTGAGAGTCATTTCCCCGGTTGGTCGAGCTGGTTCCATGAGACAAACTGAGAAGGAATTTCGATCAACTGAGTTGATTACAGCAACCAAAGCCTCGTTTCATTTCCCGGGTGATCTTCATGACTCAACGAGGAAAAAGCTCTGATCGTTCTTCCCATTTTGAAAGGAGTTGGAAAACGAACAGTTTCACAAAAGAAACCGTCGGATGAATTCTCAGTGATGTTCGCTTTGCCGAAATTTTGTTCCACTATTGCCGCTAAAAAAGTAAACAGACATGGTTAACCAAATTGAAAAAGATCTTATCCATATATGATCAGATGATCAATGGATTAGATCTAAAGAAAGGAATGGATGCATGGTCTAAAGAGACATTTTATTTCATGCAATAACATTGACAAGAACGAACAATGGCTAACCGACTGATTTCAACTGACAAAAATCGCATTGCGAAATTGAATTACCTACGAACTTTACATCTCGAGCTAATGTAATCATGCAGTTGTTGTTCGACTCTTAGGGTAAAGTGCAAATGAAAATAATAATCGTTGATCAAACCTACCTGACATAATCGACAATTTGCAAGCAATCAGTAGCAAAACAAGTGGAAACCACATTTTTTAGCTGTAAAGAGATAAACTGAAGAGATATAATTACGCTATGAATGTTGTATTGACAAAGTGGTGTATAGTATTGTATAGACAAAATTACTCCAGGTTATTACAATACAAGATTTACTTGGAAACATACCTTTTGCTGCACTATCTAAATCGTTCAGCAGTATTAAAGACGTTTTAAGTTATCCTTAAGATCCACATGCAAGCTATGAGAAGAGAATGTAAGAGCCCTTTCTTTTATTGATTATGGGCACACCCTTTGTAAACGTCAGCGGTGTAGGGTAAACACCTTTCAATCAGTAAAATGCTGGTCTGAAAACAAAGGAGAAAAAACAGGAAAACAATTATGGACTTTGGAAAAATTTGAATCAATATTTTTGTCTGTTTATAATCGAAAGTGCATTTAATCATTCCTCTGTTGAATTACCAATTGCAAACTTACCATAATTGTTTGAGTTAAAATTGTTTTGTGAATTTTCCCATATATTCGTATGTATATGCATTTGTTGATAACAATTAATAACAATTTGGAAGCATTTAAAGTTTTCCGCGCGTAAAAAAACGTGACAGTGGAAAGTTGCCCTAAAGGTTGCTTCCACTTTGTACTGCGCGTTTTTTATACGCACGTGCACGCATTTTTCGAGGACCATGTAGTTGAAGAGTTAATAATTATTATGCAGTTACATTTGACATCTAACAGGAATTTGGAAGTGCTTTTTTGTAAAAACAATGGTGCAGTAATTGTGTAGTGGAGAGATCTAAAATGGATTGTGACCATGTCTGGACTGTGTCGTTTAATTATAGATGCTTGGATATTGGTTACATAATGGCTTGCTAAGCGCACAGCTGATATAGTGCACGAGTTAAGGCTGGCCTCCACCGCATGTATGTACTCGCCGAAATCACATGTAGTAGACTACAGTTCTATTGTTATACGTACAAAAAGAGTAAAAGACAGCCGCGACGGACAGCATTAACCACCAGTTTTGAGTCAGTTAGCATGCGCCAAATTGGCCGAACTGACAGTACGTGCATGCAAGCGGAGACCAGACTATAGGTTATACGTTGCATTTTGGTCGCGTCGAATGCAAATCAAAAAATAAATAATGAAATGATAAACCTCATTAAACTTCATTATCATCTCATCATCTAATGTTTAAATAGCATTCGATGGGAGTAAACGCGACATATAACCTGGGCCTTATGTTGCATGTACATATATTATTTCGCATTTTCACGCGGTATATAAGTCATAAAGGGTCACATTATACACCTGTTATATAGTTATACAAAGCCGTTAACTATAAGCAATAAAAACAATCGTGTATTAAAAAAATCAGTGAAATATATAGTGTACAGAGCTGCATCATTTAATATTTTCAAAAGAGACGACAATACATACGTATACATGTAACGAACTATTAATAGCTGATAATGATTTGGTAAAACCGACGGACCAGTATTCTCTGTTGAGCTCGATCTCAAGAGGCTGTAATTAGTAAATACTATCCGAAACTATCCGAATAGATCATTATCTCAGATAGTAGCTACTGGTTTTGTGTGGATGTATTTTTCTCACACAAACTATTAATCTACAGGGCAATACATGATGTTGACGTGTACAAACAGCATCGTCATTGGAATTTGCTTTCACAATGTAAATAGAATATGTACTGTATATCAGCAAAATGCGAAGATTTGTATCTGCCTTGCACATCCCATAATTATATAGTTTGTATGTGATTTTTACTCCTGTGTCAAAGCGACTATTTTTTTCACGGCCGTAGAACATGCAGACATGTAGAAAAACGACAAAGCATTGTGAAATTTTCGTGCCGTACATAATTATGTACTATTTCGTAAGTCGAAATAACTCAACTCCACCACTCAAGCTCAAATATCTCTTAACTTTGTTTGCTTCTTTAATTGCACTTGCACGTGTTATAGAACGTCATAATATGGATAAAAAATTATCTATCAAAAAACTTTGACCTATCGCTTAGAATTCGAAATTTTTATTGGCTAACATTAGTTATAATAAAGCTGTGTGTATAATGCGAATACTGAATAGTGACTGTGGTTGATTTTCTGTTCACCACGTGAACAATAAGTTTGATAAGTGCTAAGCAATGTTTAAGTAAGAGAGTGAAAGCAAAACAATATAATGCTCTTGCGTGTCAACATCGAGTCTACTTGGATGAAACACAATTATCGAAATAACAGGATGTCTGAGACTTTAAAGTTAACAAGCTAAAGCAGACTCAAAATATTTTTATAAAACACAAAACAACAAACACTTCATAAATGTAGTTTGCCTCGGAATAATGTCAGTGTTGGAACGAAAACAGGAATTGAATCTGAGTACATGCATGCGGAGTACTCTTGAGCCTGACGAATTTGCAGTTTGCGGAATTCAAAACCAGTTTTTGCCAGCAAAAAATTCATAGCATTGGAGCGTAAACAAACATTCGACATTTTATTTGCTTACATGCATGCAGCTAATAGAAATATGATTTGCTGAAGAAAGATAGCAAGAGCATGTTTTAAAATTAATCCAGAAATACAAAGACAAAAACAGTGGCTTAAGTTACTAACAATTAATAGGGGTCAATAAATATTTACTGTTTACTTTTAGACATTACTCTAGTTTAAAACTAATAGATTTATCTCAATCATGTTAACTTATTCCAAAATATAAAACACGTCAAAGCTTGTGCAAGTCAATATTTAAACAAGTTGTCAGATGCCTTTTTTGTCTGTAAATTATTCAGTTCACTCGGTTGGACTCGATCTGTCAACGCAACAGCGGGTGATAAAGCCTCCATAATATCTATACTCACGAAATATGGGTTATGGGTATGTGCACTGCCTATACTTACTTAAATACTATTTTTAAGCCCCGGAAACCTCCAGGGCCGAAACTGGGACGATATTGGGGAAGGGAGGGTTGTTTATTCATATATTCAGTTCTGCACGACGGATTTTTTTGTAAGCTCAATGGAGGTTGAACTAATAATGACAGAGCATGGCCCTTACATAATATATTTCGTTATTATACCAGACTGCCGAATCACACAACATGTACACTCTCTCATTATTAACAACCGCAAAGTAATTGCATCCAATAGCTCATATAGTTCTACAATGTTTTTTTTTATTAAGTAAATTAGCTTGTAGGAACACCATGCACTATAGGTATTTAATACTGCAAAGTTTTCGGTCCGTTAATGCGGGCCTTCATCAGCTAGTGCAATTATTACCCGAATACACATCTACACGTCACTTATTTACATTTCAGGAATTCTTTACAATGAAAGTTATGAAATGCAGGAAGTAACAAGTTACGAGTACATAATTTTTTTCCAATCCAAACTTTTCATTGAATACTTTTGCAGAATCTTCGCTATGATCACTGGGTCACGAATACTTATTAGTAGTTGAGCAGTACAGTTTTCCTAATCGAAACACCACCTCGAATTATATTCCCCCTCTTTGTTGAACAAATTTGTCTAGAAGTATAGTTTAGCATAATTCGTTTAGCTTAATTCGTCGTAGTTCAAATGTCGTAATTAATATTCATTGTTATAAAAACCAATTGCAACAAATTACAACAAATTACGATTGGGAATTACGACAAATTACGACGAATTATGTTATATTGAAAATCACATAATTCACAATCGTATTTTCACCATATAACTGGCCAATAATATCATTCCTTTGCCAGTTCGAATTTGCGGGAGAATAAAATATTCAGTCACGTGCGCTGGAAATTTTTGAAAATATTTTGTAAGCGGGTTTCTTGGCCAACAAGATCGCGCACAAAGACGACTATTGCAAAACAAGAAAACGAATAATTATGCAGTTTTATACACACCATACATCTTTGGAAATCATTACAAGCCACCTAACACGCCATTTGATTTGCAGCAAGTGGAGCAACAGCTTTTGGCCAAAAATTTCTGTATTTTTCAACATGACTGTATCAAACACCACCCTTGTCTCTTGAACAGTTATCTTGAACTTGCCTTGGGTTCCTTAGATACCTCACCATCTTGGACGAGAGGCGCATGTTTCACAAGATGTTTAGGAGAAGATTTAACTTCCTGTGTGCGCTACGGGTGACTGCATGATATCACTGAGGTGCAATGGATACATTGATTATTTAAGTTCATTTTTATTATTGTTTGGGTCCCTTGTCGTCGAAAATATGTCCACTTAAAGAAATATCGAACCCTGTGTCCCTGTCCTAAATTAGTAACTTATCAACATCCCTCGGCGCGAAGTCGGTAAGGGAAGTTTTTGTGGCCAACGGATGTACATTACAACAGAATGCACGCGGTCTGTATTATTTATGTGAGAGAATTGACGTCTATAAAAGTAAAGAATGAATTTGGTGTATTTATCGTCATTTCTCTACATCATGTTCCTTTGATTAGCTTCTAAAAATCTTGATATTTTTGTAATTTTTCTCGTGCCCATAGATTGGGTATGTGGTCTAACTCTTGAGAAGTCCAAATCAATTCGTGCGAACTGCAGTGAAATAAAAATTAAATCACAATGCAATGCAAACCGTCAAGCTGGCTACGCTACTGTCGATACTACACATTTATAATTGTTTTTTTATCAAAATTTTATCTTAGTCTGTTAGCTAGTCTATGTGCATTTTAGTTCATTCTTAAAACAGCAGTTTTAAAATCCGAACATCAATAGCAATCCACAGTCTTATCTTCCATACCTATACCTACCTAAAAAGCAGAAAAGTTAAATCATTATTCATTTGTAAAAGAATTATGGTATCATTTCACAATGCCATTTTAGCCAGAAATTTGATACTGTCAGCGGTTGATGCATTAGTACGCAGGCGCAAGTGAGAATGCCGTACATTGCGAATTCAGGGTTACTGCCAAATTTGGGTGAGGAATAGAGTGAGGTAATTTACCAGGGGCCGGTTGTATAAAACTCTAACTACATTTTGCATAATTAAATCATAGATAATTCATGATCAGAAATACACAACTCTGATTGGCTAATTCTGTCGTTAACTAGAATTTTAATACTTGTTTTGCGTAGTGGTAAATTATGACAAAAGTTTATGACAATTACTGCAAGTTTGAAGTTATCCTAATTATTCATTTTTTTAGAAATTGATTGTTGTCGCATCAAAATATTAT